TTCGCTGCCCTCCAGCCCAGCGCGCATTTCTTCCAGCTCTGTCTGTGTCAGGCTGAGACGGCGTTCCTGGAGGTTGTACTGTTCCCGGAGTTCCTCGTGCTGGCGAGCATCTTCATCCATCTGAATCTGAAGATCCTGAAGGCAAAAGAGGGATCAGCATGATTAAGAAGCATGCAGAGGAAGCTGTGAAGTACAAGACGGCCCACCCATCTCCTTTTCTTTTCTCCTATTTTGTTAAAGGGACATTGTCCAGTTAAAAATCACGATGTCTGATTCTGATGTCACTTATGCCTGCTTTACACCAGTGCAACTTCTTTGACTTCAGTGGAGTTAGTCCTGATTTGCACCAGTGTCAAAGAGCAAAATAAAGCCCACATATTTAAAAAACGAAAACAAATGTACTTTTCAATGCTGTTACACCACCTTAGGTGAGTGGTTCTCAAACTGTGGGTTGAGACCCCAAAGTAGGTCGCGCCCCCATTTTAATGGGGTCTCCAGGGCTGGCTTAGACTTGCTGGGGCCAAAGCCAAAGCCCAAGTCCCACTACCTGGGGCCGAACCTGAAGCCCGAGGGCACTGGTGCTCAGATTACAGGCCCCTTGCCTGGGACTGAAGCCCTTGGGCTTCGATCTTGGTCCCCTACCCAGGGGGTGGGGCTTGGATGGGCTCAGGCTTCAGGCCCCCCTCCTGGGGTCATGTAGTAATTTTTCTTGTCAGAAGGGGGTTGTGGTGCAATGAAGTTTGAGGACCCCGGACTAGGTTATTAGAGTCACATCCTCTGCTGCGGTGAGACCAGTTTACACCAGCTGAAGATCTGGCCTTCAAAGGTTTTTTATTTTTTTAATTTTTTAATCTAAATTTGGTTTGCCCTTTTTATGCTGTTGGTATCCTTTTTGCAGTTCTCTGAGCTCGGACAAAGAAAACAGACTGGTAAGTTTCACTTTTCATTTCAGTTGATTTCTAGTCAATTTCACTTTCAGGTTCACCTGCACCGGAGTGATGAAGCACTGTTTGGTTTGCAAACACTGCAGGGCACTGTCTATTACAATCAAAACCGTTTTCATTGCAATTTTTTTAATTGCATGGAAATGTTTCTGCTGGTCCGAGGTTTTGTAAAAGCCCGTGTGCCTGGTTTTTCTCTCACAACAGTTGTACCCCATTGATTTGGATGAAGTTACTCCTGATTTACATCCTTTGCTTACAAAACCTGAATTTGGGGGCAAATGTGACCTGACAGAGTCTCTCTAAACAAGGCTGTATATTCCACTGCCTAGAGTTATTATATGTAAAAAGATGTAACTGGATAGAGTTTTCCCTTCAGGGTCCGACTTCCTCCTCTCCAGTTTACCTTGATCTGCTGCTGCAGTTTTTTCAGTGTCTTGACAAGCTCACTGTTGTTCCTGTTGGCGTGATCCAGCTGGATTTCCATTTCATTCAGATCCGTCTCCATCTTCTTCTTGAGCCTGAGCGCTTCAGCACGCCCCTTAGCCTCCATCTCCAGACTTGACTGCAGAGACTCAATTGCACGCTGATGATTTTTCCTGCGGATTCCAATGAAGCACAAGTTGGATCATTCTGTTACACTTGACTGCAGCCCAGCCTTTGGCTTTAGGGGGGTAAAACCAAGGGATTGTTCATGAAATTATAAAAAGGGATCATTTCAGAAACTCTCTGAAAATGGGATTCTTGATCCCAGCAGCCACCCTGATCCCAAACACTTTCCTTCTTAGAGTACTTCATACTAATAAGTATAGATTTGAAATGGACCAACACTTCTCCAATGAGGTAGCTAAGCACTGGAAATAATCCTGAGAGTTTAACGTGATAATTGTGGTTTATCACGTTTCCCTGAGATACAATATTTTGTATCTTTTGTGAACATTAGAAGCCTAAGGATTACTAGGCTGGCTCAGAGCCAAGGTCCATCTAGTCCAATATTCTGTCTACGACACTAGCCAACAGCATAAGCCTCAGAGGAAGGTGTAATAACCCTGGTTGTGGGATAATCTGCCTCCCATATTAGGTCTCATCCTACTCTAATAGAGACTGGCGTAAATTCTGAAGCAGAAGTCTGTTCTGATGGTAACTAAGAAATGTATTAGGAGCCAGATTTTGTTCTTAGTTATGCAGCGCAACATCTTGGACTTTGGTGACCCCACGCAGCTGTAACAGAGAGCTGGATTTGACCCAAAATCTCCTACAATCACCTGCTTCTTAATGTTAACACAAGATCCCTTGGTCATACAGCCACTAGATCAGGTCAAATCCAACAGATCACCCAAGCAAATGTGGGCTTCTTTCATTGAATGAAAGAATATTCATATTGGGACCTTACACCTCCTCACGGCATATTGAGTCAGAAAGCTCTGCGTGTGTATCTTTGAGCACTTAAATATTCCATACCTTGTAGCTTCAAATTCCTCTTCCTTCTCATGGATTCTTCTGTCAATGTCAGCCTTCACCTGAGCTAGTTCAAGCTGAATACGGATCAGTTTGCTTTCTTCAACCTGCCAGCAAACATACAATCGAGGTGTGACTGAATGGCTTTTCAGAGGTAAAATCTGTATAATTTATCTGCTGGAATATGGCCAGCAGGTTATGTACTAGTCTGATGTGTCCCCCTCATGTGTAGTTGTCACAACTGGATACGATTATTACCTCCAGGGAAGACTCTGCTTCCTCTAGCGCCATCTGCAGTTCATCCTTCTCAATCTCCAGCTTCTTCTTTATCTTCTGTAGCTCATGTACACTTCTTCCTCCCTCACCCAACTGGTCAATCAGATCCTTAATCTCCTCTGAGGAAGAAAAATGGAGATTTCATGGGATGGGTGTATTCCAGGACTGGGAACTTTTAACAAGTGCCACCCGTACTGATCCTTTGAAAGCAAATGGCTTGAGATAGTTCCAGTCAAGCGATCAACACTCTGCACCAAGGGAGATTTCAGTTAGACAGTAGGAAAAACTTTCTCACTATAAGGATAATTAAGTACTGGAATCTGTTACCCAAGGAGGTTGTGGAATCTCCATCATTGGAGACTTTTAAGAACAGGCTAGACAAATATCTGTCAGGGATGGTCTCGGTGTACTTTGTCCTGTCTCAGCACCCGGGACTGGACTAGATGACCTCTCAAGTCCCTTCCAGCCCTACATTTCTATGACTCTACTTCCAATCAATTGGCCTTTGCTTTCATTTCTAAATGTTACTCTGGATTTCTGAATGAGGCCTGTTGGTAGCCCGTGTTCAGGGAGATGGAAAAGAGAAACCCATTAAGCCATCAGAAATTCTCCACAATCTCCCTCTGCTTCTTCCTCCCTCCTCTCAAATGGTTGCTCTTCCTAAGTGAAAACAAGACTCCATGCGGTCTGGGCTCTGTGCCAGCCACTGTAGGCTGGAGCAAAGGATGGAGGGGGCAGGGAGTATCAGGGCTGTGCCACTGAGTCCATCATTATTTATTTTCTGTGGGCCACACTGCCAGAGGGTCATAACTCCTCCCAAATATTCATGGAGTTATCCTCACAATACCCCTGGCAGGAAGATCAGTGTCATTTGCCCCATTTTACAGACGGGTAAACTGAAGCAAAGAGAGATTAAGTGACTGGCTCAAGATCACAGAAAACTCCGTGGCAGAGCTGGGAATGGAATCCAAGCCTCATGTATCCTAGTTGATTGCTTTATCCACTAGTCCATCATTCCCCCTATTATCTGGTTCTCGTGATGATAACCCCCCACCCAAGGGATGCACAGGGGTCATGGCCCCTACTTTAGACCAGTGGCCACCAAGAGGCAACTGACCCGAAGCACAATCTTCCTGTCTCCTGAGCCCCTCTTGTCCCCCCCGGCACTATATATTTATCTACGTTACTTTCACAATTTACTTTGCGTTTGTGCGTGGGGAGGTGTTAGTGAGTTGGTGAATTTCACCCCAAGAGCAGAATTTGGCCCATCATTTGGAATGGCATCAGAAATACATTCACAAAGAGAACGTGAGTATCAG